CCGTCATGGGGCCCTCTTGGAGGCCTCTTGGGCGATCTTAGGGCGACATTTGGGAGCTCTTGGGCCGTATCGGGCCGTCGGAAGGCCGAAACGAAGCAAATGTCAAAATCTTTTAAAAACCTTCGGGAAATCACTTTTTTTTGCCTTTTCTGGCCTTCCTGGAGGCCCTCTTGGAGGCCTCCTGGGCCGTCTTGGGCCAGCTGCGAGCCACCTTCGGCCATCTTGGTGGGCTCCTGGCCCGTCTGACGCCGTCGGAAGCCGTTTCGGGGGCCTTTCTGGGCAGACTTGGGGCCCTCTTGGGGTGCTCCAGGGCCGTCTTAGAGGCCATCTTGGGCGTCTTCGAGGCCTCTTAGGCCGTCTTGGCGCCCTCTTGGGACCGTCTTGGGGGCCTCTTGCGCCGTCATGGGGCCATCTTGGAGGCCTCTTGGACGATCTTGGGGTGACCTTGGCGGCCTTTGGGGCCGTCACGGGCCGTCGGAAAGCCGAAAAGGCGCAAATGCCAAAATCCTTCAAACACCGAAGGAAAATCAAGAATTTGGGCCTCGTCGGGCCTTCTGGAGGACCTCTTGGAGGCCTCTTGGGCCGTCTTGGAGGCATCTTGCGGGCCTTTTGGGCAGTCTTAGACCATATTGGGGCCATCTTGGGCCGTCTTGGAGGCATCTTGGGGCCATCTTAGCCGTCTTGGAGGCCATCTTGGATGTCTTGGAGGCATCTTGCAGGCCATCTTGGGCCATCTTCGCGATTTATTGAGGATGTCCCGAGCGAAACAGCCGTTTTTGGCGATGGCAACCGGGTCTTCCGGGTGGCCGGCGGGACGCGCCGAAGCCCCAGGGGGAGTTCTTTTGGAAAAGAACCAAAACCAAAACCGAGAGGGTCTAGCACGCCAGGCACCCCTGCGATGAATCGACAGGGGGCGGCGGATCCAGCTGCCCATGGCAAGTCCCGCCACCGTGCTTGGGTTGTGGATATGCAGCCTATTGGATGTTCAATGGGATCTTGTTGGAGGCCTGTTGGCGGCCTCTTGGAGGCAGTTTTGAGGCCTCTTGGGTCTTGGAGGTGGGGCGTCTTGGAGGCCTCTTGAGCCATCTTGAGGCCATCTTGGGCGTCTTCGAGCGATCGTTCGGCGACTGGGGGCCCTCTTGGACCGTCCTGAGGCCTCCTGTGCCGCTACGGAAGCGCTGGAGAGCCTCAGGGAGGCGGGCCTCCCCCCTGGAGTTGGGGTGTTGAAAGACGAGTGGGTAGTCTCTGAGAACCCGTCAGGCAGTCCTTGGCATTCTTCCACGCCTCAACGTGCCGCAGGCACGGTGGCAGGTGTCGGAGTTCCAGGCCGATCTTGACACGCGTCCGCTTGGCGAAGGACCCAACCAGATGTACGTGTGCGTACCGCAATTATGCGCCCCGCCGTCGGTGGAGCTCCCTATGGGGCAACGAGGCGTGTGAGGGGTGTGCCGACATGGGCGCGGTGGCGCCATGCAAATTTTGCCATTGGACCTTCGGTGGATCTCCTTGTGGGGCGACGAAACGCGTGAGGGTTGTGCCGAAATGGGTGCGGTGGCGCCATGCGAACCTTGCCACGGGGGCTTTCGGTGGCGCGACCTGTGGGGCCACGAAGCGTGTGAGGGGTGAGCCGAAATGGGTGCGGTGGCGCCATGCGAACCCTGCCACTGTGGCCTTCGGTGGAGCTCCATATGAGGCCACGAAACGTGTGAGGGGTGTGCCAAAATAGGCGCGGTGGCGCCACGCGAACCTTGCCACTTGGGACTTCGGTGGAGATCCCTCTCGGTCCACGAAACGCGTGAGGGGTGTGCCGAGATGGGCGCGGTGGCGCCATTCGAACCTTGCCACGGGGGCCTTCGATGGAGCTCCCTATGTGGCCACGAAGCGTGTGAGGGGTGTGTCGAAATGGGCGCGGTGGCGCCATGCGAACCCTGCCACTGGGGCCTTCGGTGGAGCTCCCTATGGGGCAATGAAACATGTGAGGGGCGCGGCGAAACAGAGACGTGCGAAGAGCAGAGGCGAGGAGGGGGGAGGGAGGAGGGGGACGAGGAGGAGAGGAGAGGAGAGGAGAGGAGAGGAGAGGAGAGGAGAGGAGAGGAGAGGAGAGGAGAGGAGAGGAGACGAGAGGAGAGGAGAGGAGAGGAGAGGAGAGGAGAAGAGACCAGGAGATCAGACGAGGAGGAACGCGGGGCGTTGTCTCCTCAAAACGAGGACCCAACACCACAGGATGGCTGGGAAAAAGCAGCGCACTGGGAAGGGATGGGAGGGAGAGATGGGATGTCAGGTGTGGTGCGAGCGCACCTGGGTTGTCCATTCCCCCTCGCTCCTCCTGTCTCCCTCTGCCCCTCCCGCCACACCTCGGGTACGGTCGGACCGAGGTATGATATCGAGGTCGGCTCGGGGAAGAGGGTACCCGAGTGTTCTTCGTGTTTGTTGGATGGTCTTGTGCATCCTGGGGAAGGGCACTCTCGAAGGCTACGTCGGCGGCGGAGAGTCTCATGTTGTTGCAGGATTTTCTTCTGCCCCAGGTCCGACCGCATCACCCAAGACCCTTTAGAACCCCCACGTGTCTTGTCAGAGTCCAGGAACGAGTTAAACCCTCCCCCTGCTCCTCCCCCTCCCCCCTTGCCCCCGTCCCTCTCCTCGTCTTCCCCCTCCCCCTCCCGCCCCCCGCACCACCGGTCTGACTCGAGACCCTTCGCGACCCCAAGCGGCTGGCAAAAGCCTAGGGACAAACTGAACCCTCCCCCTGCTCCTCCTCCTCCCCCCTCCTCCTCCCTCCCCCCCCTCCCCTCCCCATCCCCCCTCCTCCTCGTCCTCCCCCCCCCCCCCCCTGCTCGTCCTCCCCCTCCTCCTCCTCCCCCCCCCGCCCCTTCACTACCCCCTGTGCCCTCCTCGTTCCTCCCTCCCCCGCCCTCCCGCCCTACACCACCGGTCCCACCCGAGGCCCGCCAGGGCCCCTCCCGCCCCAAGTGTTGAGTTGGGCCTGTCCCTCTACAGGAGGAATATGCCAAAACAGCTTCAAAAAGCCAGGGGACTATTTCCCGGAAAGGGCTTGAGCCCAGGGTTCTCTTTTAGATGGTTTCCCTCCGGGTTTGACGGGAAGAGGGCCGGCGAATTTCTTTTGCGATAAATAACGAGTGGGAAGAGGGCCGGCGAATTAAAATTTGAGGATGTCCCTAGCGAAACGCTTGTTTTTCAGAATTTGTTGAGGATGTCTCGAGCGAGACGCTGGTTTTGCAGAGTTGGGGATGTCTCGAGCGAAACGCTTGGTTTCAGAATTTGTTGAGGATGTCTCGAGCGACACGCTGGTTTTGCAGAGCCGACCGCGACGCGGAAAAGCGCCCCGCGCGCAGGAATTCCGATGATGTTTCGCGCGTGCCGCGTCCCGCGCGCAGGAATTTCGAGGATGTCTCGACTAATTCGTTTGTTTTGCTAGGATTTCTTTGAATTTTGGCAGGATGTCTCGAGCGAAATGCTTGTCTTTCATAATTTGTTGAAGACGTTTCGAGCGAAACGCTGGTTTTGCACAATTGGGGGATGTCTCGAGCGGGGGCCTCGTGGGGGTCCAGAATTCAGAGGATGTCTCAGGCGAAATGCTTGTTTTCACGTCCCGCTCGCAAGAATTCCGAGGATGTCTCGCGCGTGCCGCGCCCCGCGCGCAGGAATTCTGAGGACGTTTCTCGAGCGAAACGCTTGTCCCCAACACGTTCCGTAGCGCGTCCCCTTGGCACGTCCCGCGGTGCGTCCCCATGGCATGTTCCCTTGGCATGTCCCCCTGTCAATGAGCTCTGGGGCAGCTACTATGTGTTTAGGCAGCTCGAGCTTAAGATCCAGATCAGTTCGGTGAGGACTCGGATGCAAAGGGGGGCTCGATCCACAACGCTATAGAGCACAGTCGCGGCATGGCACATCGCAATTCAGCACGGCGCACTACACCACAGATTTCGGCACGGTACATGAAGATCGATATATTTAGCATTGCAACCTGGCACGTTCCTTGGCCCGTTCCGTGGGGCGTCCCTTGTCGAATCCCCTTGGCACGGCGCGTGGCGCGTCCCCTGGCGCATCCCGTGGCACATCCATTGGCACGTTCCGTAGCGCGTCCCTTTGGCACGTCCCGCGGTGCGACCCCATGGCACGTCCCCTGGCACGTCGCCTGGCGCGTCCCTTGGGACGTTTCGCGGCGCGTACTCCTGGCATAGCCCCCTGTCAATTAGCTCTGGGGCAGCTACTACGTGTTCAGGCAGTTCGAGCTTAAGATCCATATCAGTTCGGTCAGGACTCGGATGCAAAGGAAGACTCGATTCACGACGCTATAGAGCACAATCGCGGCACGACACATCGCAATTCAGCACGGCGCAGCGCAGCACAGCCTTTGGCACGGTGCATCAAGATCGATACACTCCGCATTGCATGTGCCCGTCACCCAATCAGGTGTCGTTGAAAACGCTGCCATGCGTTACATTTCTATATTCCTTTCCGGGTTCGTGGGTCGATCATGTTTTTGGGGGGTATTTGAAGTCTTTTTTGCATATTCCTGGGGCATGTTTAATCTCTCGTCCAAAACCCGCCTGTAGGAGGACACGCCCGCCCTGAGCCAAGTGTCGGGGGCGGAAAAGAGGGGGGTGATGACCAGGGGGGGGGGATATCATGGCGGGGGCCATGAGATTTCCCCAGATTTCATGGCGCCTCTTCTTCTTTCATTATAGTCCCTGGCCCCCCCCCGCTGGGCCGCGCACATGCCGCCGGTCATGAGTTGCACCTTCCCCTCTTGGACACCCCCCTCTTGGCCGCTCCCGAAGAGGAGGAGACAGCACCCGTACCGCTCGGCTGTGCGCAGAGGGGAGGGGGGGGGGAGGGGGGAAGGCTTCTTAGAAGCGCCCCCCTCTCAGAAGGCGTGGATTCGCACCTTCCCCTCTTGGACACCCCCCTCCTGGCCGCTCCCGAACAGTGCACGGCGACGACCGACGGCGCGCCCCCGCGCGGGGCCCCTCGCGCAGGCGCGGCCGCCGTGGCCGCGCGGGGCCCGCCCGCCGGCCGGCACCGGCCTGCCCGGAGGGAGGCCCGCGCCGCCGCCGCGGGCGTCGGAGCGGGAGAGGGGCTCGGCAGCGCTCGGACGCGTGCACTCGGCGAGGACCATCGGCCAGGATCGGGATCAATCGCTCCAGAGCGTTCCGGAGCGCTCTCGGGAGCGAGGACCATCGGCGAGGACTATCCTGAAACAGGGCCAGGATCGGGATAAACCGCTCCAGAGCGTTCCGGAGCGCTCTCAGAGCGTTCCGGAACGCTCTGGAGCGGCCGCGGCGCCCAATACATCCTCCAAACCCGCCGATTCTCAGAGATTTCGAGTTATCCCGATCCGATTTTGTCCCGACCTTCTCGGCGAGGACCCATGAGGACTGTCCTGGACATCGAGCAAAAAATCAGCGGAGCGAAGAACGGATAAAGTAAACTGGGTCCGCAGTCGGGGGCGCCTGACCCCGACTTCGGCTGGAAGTTTCTGCCACTACGGTTGGAAACCGTAGGGGTGTAAACTTTCCAGCCGCCCTGGGGAGGCACCCCCATCGGCGAAAAAGTTTTGTTTATACCGTTCTTCGGCCCGTTAAAACAAGCACGCACGAAACCGTTAAAAATTGCCACTGGAAATAGACGTCGAGCGATGGCGAGGAGGGGGGGGGGGGGGCAGTCGTCGTGGTCGGACGGCGGGGATCGGCTCAGGTCAGCGCGCGAAGGGATGCTGGGGGGGGAGGAGGCGGGGGGAGGGAGGAGGGGGGGAGGGGAGACGCGAGCGGAGGAGGAGTGGGATGGGGGGGGGGAGGGAGGGAGGGGGAGGGGAGGAGGGGGAGGTAAGAGGAAAGGAGGAAAAAAAAAAAGGGGGGGGGAGAAAAAGGAGGAGGAGGAGGAGGATGGGGTCGGAGCGTGGAGGAGGAAGAGGAGGAGAAGGGGGAGGAAGTAGGGGGAGCGAAGGGAAGAGAGAGAGAGCTACGTTAGCTTACGGCCAAGAAGGGACATAGGGAATCACCTACGAAGGCCTAAGAGAGGATGGCTTAGGGGACTATCACCTAGGGCTGGAAGGGACAAAGGAGGACATCACCTCGGGACTCTCCCCCCCCCCCCCCCCTCGGGACTCTCTTTTTTCTCCTTCTCTCCTCATCCTCACTCCTCCTCCTCTCCTCCTCCTTCTCCTTTTCCTTCCTTCACCCTTTGTCTCAGTTACCATAGTTCGCCCCCCCCCCCCCCACTCTGCGTTTTCTGGATTCCGGATTCCTGGTCGCCTTTGCTGCGGACTCCAGGGCCCCTGGAAATTTCAATATTTTGAACACTTTCAGATTCTCAGTGCCCTGCAATGTGGTAAAAATGTGTTTTTGAATCATGTTTTTTTTAATTCCCAACCATCCTGTGGTGTTGGGTCCTTGTTTTGAAGAGACGTCGCCCCTCGTTCTCCTCTCCTCTCCTCTCCTCTCCTCTCCTCTCCTCTCCTCTCCTCTCCTCTCCTCTCCTCTCCTCTCCTCTCCTCCTCCTCCTCCCCCTCCTCCCTCCTCCCTCCTCCATTTCGGCACACCCCTCACACGTTTCGTGGCCCCATAGGGAGCTCCGCCGAAGGCCCCAGTGCTGCCGCCTGCATGCGTCACGCACACCCAATTCGGCACACCCCTCACACGTTTCGTGGCCCCATAGGAGCTCCGCCGAAGGCCCCAGTGCTGCCGCCCGCATGCGTCACGCACGCCCAATTCGGCACACCCCTCACGCCTTTCGTGGCCCCATAGGGAGCTCCGCCGAAGGCCCCAGTGCTGCCGCCCGCATGCGTCACGCACGCCCGCTTCGGCACACCCCTCACACGTTTCGTGGCCCCATAGGGAGCTCCACCGAAGGCCCCAGTGCTGCTGCACGCATGCGTCACGCACACCCAATTCGGCACACCCCTCACACGCTTCGTGGCCCCCCATAGGAGCTCCGCCGAAGGCCCCATTGCTGCCGCCTGCATGCGTCACCCACACACAATTCGGCACACCCCTCACACGTTTCGTGGCCCCATAGTAGAAGCTCCGCCGAAGGCCCCAGTGCTGCCGCCCGCATGCGTCACCCACACCCAATTCGGCACACCCCTCACACGTTTCGTGGCCACATAGGAGCTCCGCCGAAGGCCCCAGTGATGCCGCCCGCATGCGTCACCCACACCCAATTCGGCACACCCCTCACACGCTTCGTGGCCCCATAGGGAGCTCCGCCGAAGGTCCCAGTGCTGCCGCCCGCATGCGTCCCGCACAACCAATTCGGCACACCCCTCACACGTTTCGTGGCCCCATAGGGAGCTCCACCGAAGGCCCCAGTGGCGGCGCTCCGCCGAAGGCCCAGGCTGCCGCCCTGCATTGCAGTCGGAAACACACAATTCGGCACACACCTCACGCGTTTCTGGCCCCATAGGGAGCTCCACCGAAAGTTCACGGTGGGCGTGTGCCGCATGCGTCCCGCACACCAATTCGGCACACCCCACACGTTCGTCGGCCCAACAGGGAGCTCCGCCGAAAGGCCCCAATGCTGCCGCCCGATGCGTCCAGCACACCCAATTCGGACACCGCAGCCTTTCGTGGCTCCATAGGGAGCTCGCCGAAGGTCCCAGTGGGCGTGCCCGCATGCGTCCCGCAACACCCCTTTCGGCAACTCTTAATACGTTTCGTTGGCCCCATAGGAAGCTCCACGACATCACCCAGCGGGTGCAGTGGGTGTGCCCGCATGCGTCCCGCACACTCATTTCGGCACACCCCTCACGCGTTTCGTGACCCCTCACACGCTTCGTGGCCCCATAGGGAGCTCCACCGAAGGCCCCAGTGGGTGTGCCCGCATGCGTCACGCACACCCAATTCGGCACACCCCTCGCACGTTTCGTGGCCCCGTAGTGGGCTCCACCGAAGGCCCCAGTGGGTGTGCCCGCATGCGTCCCGCACACCCATTTCGGTACACCCCTCACACGTTTCGTGGCCCCATAGGGAGCTCCACCGAAGGTCCCAGTGGGTGTGCCCGCATGCGTCCCGCACACCCATTTCGGCACACCCCTCACACGTTTCGGGGCCCCATAGGGAGCGCCACCGAAGAAGATATTCACAATTGCGGTACTCACAATTGCATATGGTTGGGTCCTTCGCCAGGATAATTTCTGAGGGGTCCTGAGTTTCTGGGATTCCTGGTCGGCTGGGCTGCGCTGCGTACTCCAGGCCCCTGGAAGTATCAAAGTTTGTGAACATGTTTTGTGTGACTGTTCGAAGTTCTTGGGGCCCTGTTCTTTAATTTCTCTAAACAAGAATACACCAACAAGGAACTGCGACTCCGGAGGGTGTTCCTGCTCGCCTCGGCTGCGGACTTCAGGGTTCCCGGAAGTAGCAAAATGTGTTCAATCTTTCGAAGTTTCGGGGTCCCTGGATTTTTTGTTTTCGAGGGGTCCAGAGCTTCCGGGATTCCTGGTCGCCTGGGCTGTGGACTCCAGGGCCCCTGGAAATCATTTTGTTTCTGCAAACAAGCAAGTTGTTTAAAGAATTCTGGTTGCCCTGAAACGCTCTTTTGTTAAATTTTTTCCAGAGAAAATTTCTTTTCCATTTCTGAGGGGACCAGAGTTTCCGGGATTCCTGGTCGCCCAGGTTGCGGAACCCGCAGCCCAGGCCACCAGGAACCTTCAGCTTTGATTGCAACTTTTTGAATTTCTGTGAATTTGGGAGCCTCTGGGGCCTCCGGGGGCCTCCTGCGACCTTCTGGTGCCTCCTGGGGCTTCCCGGGACCTGGGGCCTCCCAGTGTATTCTGGGGCCTTCTGGGGCTCTCTTTCCAGGGCCCAGGGCCTCCCAGGGCCTCCTGGTATCTCCCAGGGCATCCGGGGTCCTCCAGGGGCTTCTTGGAGCCTGATCCTCCTGGGACCTCCTGGGATCTTCCTGGATCCTTCTGGGGTCCTCCAGGGGCTTCTTGGATCCTCCTGGGGCCCGTCGAGACGTCCTGGGGCCTCCGAGTCTCCTGGGCCCGCTGTTCCCACCCCTGGCTCCGCGGCGCCAGGCGCTGCAGAGCATATGCTTTTGCGCAGACATTGTTTTGTTATATTAACTTTTCAAGAGCCACGATGTCTGCGCAGAGCTCCGCCGCTCTGGGTTTGCCGATGGGGGTTCTGGATGACTGGACGCCCGGGCTGCAGGTGCGCCCCGCCGCCTCCAGTCTCCCTCCGCCTCCCTCCGGTCTCAGCTATCCCCCCGCACATGTCCTCTTCCTCCTCCCTCCTGGAGGAGGAGGAGGAAGAGGATATGGGAGGAGGGATGTGAAGCAGGAAGAGGCCAGGAGAAGGAGGAAGAAGACGATGATGAGGACGGTACACCGCATACTGGTGGGTGAATGCGTGTATAAGAGAATGTGTGGGATTATGAACACTCTGGTGATGCTGCTGATGATGATGATGACGATGATGATGATGCTGATGATGATGATGATGGTGATGGTGATGGTGATGGTGGTGGTGGTTATGGTGGTGGTGATGGTGGTAATGGTGGTGATGATGGTGATAGTGATGATGGTGGTGATGGTTATGGTTATGGTGACGATGATGATGATGATGATGATGACGATGATGGTGATGATGATGGTGGTGATGGTGGTGATGGTGATGTTTATGATGTTGATGATGATGTTGATGATGCTGATGCTGCTGCTGATGCTGCTGCTGCTGCTGCTGATGATGATGATGATGATGATGATGATGATGATGGTGAGCCGAGGTGAGGCCGACGGCGACGATGGCGACGACAGCGGCGACGATCACGGTGGCGGCGGTTGCGGCCATCCTCTACAATGTGCTCCTTCCTAAGGATGATGAGGAGGAGGAAGCGAAGGAGGAGGAGGAGGAGGAGGAGGAGGTGGAGGAGGTGGAGCTCATGCACCGCCCTTTGAAGGTTGCCGTCGATCTCCGGTGGTCCTCGGAATGCCGTCGACTTCGAATGGGCTCCTCGTTACGACGTCCTCATCATCCGTATCCTGCGTGCCCTCCTCCTGCATTATGGGTCTCCGTACCCTCCTCTGTTTCACGATCAGCA